CGATCTGGAGTAATTTTGGACCACTCCTCTTCACAAAACTGTTTCAGTGTAGCAATATTCTTGGGATGTCTGGTGTGAATCGCTCTCTTAAGGTCATGCCACAGCATTTCAATCGGGTTGAGGTCAGGACTCTGACTGGGCCACTCCAGAAGGCGTATTCTGTGCTGTTGCAGCCATTGTTTTGTTGAATTACTTGTATGCTTTGGGTCATTGTCCTGTTGCATCACCCATCCTCTGCGGAGCTTCAGTTGGCGGACAGATGGTTGTACGTTTTCCTGCAAAATGTCTTGATAAACTCTGGAATTAATTTTCCCATCAATGACAACAATCCGTCCAGGCCCTGAGGCAGCAAAGCAGCCCCAAACCATGATGCTCCCTCCGCCATGTTTCACAGTGGGGATGAGGTTTTGATGTTGGTGTGCTGTGCCTTTTTTTCTCCACACATAGTGCTGTGTGTTCTTCCCAAACAACTCAATCTTGGTTCCATCTGTCCACAGTATATTTTGCCAGTAGTGCTGTGGAACATCCAGGTGCTCTTTTGGAAACTTCAAACGTGCTGCAATATTCTTTTTGGACAGCAATGGCTTCCTCCGTGGTGTCCTCCCATGTACTCCATTCTTGTTTAATGTTTTCCTTATTGTAGATGTGTCAACAAAAATGTTAGCATGTGCCAGAGATTTCTGTAGGTCTTTAGCTGACACTCTGGGATTCTTCTTTACCTCATGCAGCATTCTGTGCTGTGCTCTTGCAGTCATTTTTACAGGACGACCATGCCTAGGGAGAGTAGCAACAGTGCTAAACTTTCTCCATTTGTAGACAGTCTGTCTTACCGTGGACACATGAACATCAAGGCTTTTGGAGATACTTTTGTAACCCTTTCCAGCTTCATGCAAGTCAACAATTCTTGATCGTAGGTCTTCTGAGAGCTCTTTTCTGCGAGGCATGGTTCACATCAGACAGTGCTTCTTGAAACCAGTAAACCCAAAACAGGTGTGTGTTTTTTAAGGGCAGGACAGCTGTCAGCAACACATCCAATATCATCACACTGATTGGAGTCAAGGTTGGCTCACTCCTGGCTCCAATTAGCTCTGGGAGAAGTCATTAAGCTAGGGCCTCACATACTTTTTCCTCCCTGCACTGTGAATGTTTACATGTTATGTGCAATTAAACCATGGCAACATCTAATGTTTGTGTAGTATTATGTTCAGCAGACTGTGTTCTTCTATTGTTGTGACTTAGATGAAGTTCAGAGCACATTTTATGCCCAATTCATGCAAAACTCCACGTAATTCCAAGGGGTTCACATACTTTTTCTTGCAACTGTATGTATACACATATATATACCATCTATCTCAATCCAGTACTGTTTGCATCACAAGGCCTTTTTTCCCCTCCTTTCCCTACCCCCCTCCCCTCCCCCCTTCCCTTTCCTCACCACTAAAGCTGCATCATCTACTTGTTGCCCCTTTATTACTGGCATGTACGATTATATATCTTAATTTCTGTTTACTGGATTATTTTGTTTAAGGTTTGCTGAGTGAACCTTATGTCCACTACAAATTCTCTTGCGCCAATTGCATTTTTATTTTTGTCAGATGGACACAGCAGTTGACAGATTGCTCCACTGCATGACCCCTAGAGCACACACGAGGTGCATTCTCGGATAATATCATATGATATCCAACCAAGATTAGGAAGCTCCTCTGACTACCTTCCAAAAATGGGTCATTTGGGGCACATTTCCACTGCCCTGGCATTTTAGGACCTGAAGAAATTAGGCAGTCAGTACATAATGACTGATAAACTTTAAATATATATATGTATAGTAATATTCGGAGATGGCTCAGTGGTAGTTGCTTTTCAAGTGAGTTCACGCCAGTCAGAATCTATTTTCAGGGCTTGGTAGCCCACTTTTATTAAAAGGAAAGGCAAAACAAAAGTCCAACATAAGGTTTCCCTCGCAAGGGTTCTTCTCCAGTAAAATACACGCAGTCCAAATGAAAAAAATACTAGCCCACCTATCTACTCTTCAGCAGCACTGCTACTATAGTTACTGGTCCTTCTGACCACCAGCTGTTTCAGGCACACAGCTTAGTGCCACACACGACTCCTCTGGCCAACTCCTCAGGCCATTAACTCAAACACACACAGCTCCTCAGGCCATTAACTGTCTCTTGCAGACCTTCATATTCCGGCTACCATCTGCAGCCTCTCTGACTCCTGTAGGAAACCTCCTGACTCTCTTGGGAGGAGCCCTGAGGTATCCCTAAACCTCCATTATAAGGCCTGTTTTCACCTGGGCACACACCCTGCTGTTCTTCCACAAAACCTGGACACTGGGTTGGAGATTCTGTCCACTATGGAATCTGCAAACTACGGAGCCCTTTTCAGGAATACCAAAACCTGGAGAAAGCTGCAAAAGCAGTATATATATATATATATATATATATATACAGTGGGGATCGAAAGTTTGGGCACCCCAGCTAAAAATTTGTATTACTGTGCATAAAGGAGCCAAGGAAAGATGGAAAAATCTCCAAAAGGCATCAAATTACAGATTATACATTCTTATAATATGTCAACAAAAGTTAGATTTTATTTCCATCATTTACACTTTCAAAATAACAGAAAACAAACAAATGGCGTCTGCAAAAGTTTGGGCGCCCTGCAGGGTTAATATCTTGTACTGCCCCCTTTGGCAAGTATCACAGCTTGTAAACGCTTTTTGTAGCCAGCCAAGAGTCTTTCAATTCTTGTTTGAGGTATCTTTGCCCATTCTTCCTTACAAAAGTCTTCCAGTTCTTTGAGATTTCTGGGCTGTCTGTCACGCACTGCTCTTTTAAGGTCTATCCATAGATTTTTCAATTATGTTGAGGTCAGGAGATTGTGAAGGTCATGGCAAAACCTTCAGTTTACGCCTCTTGATGTAATCCCCCGTGGATTTCGAGGTGTGTTTAGGATCATTATCCATTTGTAGAAGCCATCCTCTCTTTAACTTTAGCTTTTTCACAGATGGCATCAAGTTACCATTCAAAATTTGCTGAAATTTTATTGAATCCATTTTTCCTTCTACTCGTGAGATGTTCCCTGTGGCACTGGCTGCAACACAACCCCAAAGCATGATTGATCCAACCCCATGCTTAACAGTTGGACAGAGGTTCTTTTCATTAAATTCTGTGCTCCTTCTTCTCCAAACGTACCTTTGCTCATTCCAGCCAAAAAGTTCAATTTTAACCTCATCGGTCCACAGAACTTGTTTCCAAAATGCATCAGGCTTGTCTATATGTTCATTTGCAAAGTTCAAACGATGATTTTTGTGGTGAGGACGTAGAGGAGGTTTTCTTCTGATGACTCTTCCATGAAGACCATATTTGTACAAGTATCTCTTTATAGTGGAATAGTGTACCACAACTCCAGTGTCTGCCAGATCTTTCTGGAGGGATCGTGCAGTCAAACGTGGGTTTTGAATTGTTTTTCTCACAATCCTGTGAGCTGTTCTGTCTGATATTTTTCTTGGTCTTCCAGATCTTGCTTTAACTTCCATTGTTCCTGATGACTGCCATTTCTTAATTACATTTCGAACAGAGGATATTGACATCTGAAAATGCTTTGCTATCTTCTTATAGCCTTCTCCAGCTTTGTGAGAGTCAACTATTTTCAGTTTCAGTTTTCTAGACAACTGCTTAGAAGAACCCATGGTGCTGATTGTTGGGGCAAGGTCAGATGAGTCTGGGCATTTAAAACCTTTGAGATTGACATCACCTGGTCTTCCCAGACGATGATTGAGAACAATCCATGGCACTGGCAGGTCTCAGCTTGGCAAAGGGGGCAGTGCATGCTATAAATTCTGCAGGGTGCCCAAACTTTTGAAGACGCCATTTTTTAGTTTTCTGTTATTTTGAAAGTGTAAATGATGGAAATAAAATCTAACTTTTGTTGACATATTATAAGAATGTCTAATCTGTAATTTGATGCCTTTTGGAGATTTTTTCCATCCTTCCTTGGCTTCTTTATGCACATTAATACAAATTTTTAGCTGGGGTGCCCAAACGTTCGATCCCCACTGTATATATATATACACCTTATTTTTTTGCTCCATAAGACGCACTTTTTTCCCCCCCAAAAAAGTGGGAAAATGTCTGTGCGTCTTATGCGAATATGGAGCGGGCAGCCTGGAATTCCTGTGTTAGAATACCGGGTCAGCCGCTCAGCTCTTCTGTGCTCCTCAGTCCTACCTGTTCCTCAGTCCAGCACTGTCCTCGCTGTCTTCTCTCTCGGGCATCTTTAGTGTGGGCACCCAGCTGTTACAGCTTGCGGCTTCAGAGCCGGGTTGTAAGGGGACTGCCTGGCGACACCACTAGCACTCCACTAATCAGGCGTCCCCAGCGCACGGAGTCTAAGTCCCAGAGTACTTGTTCACCAGAGCCCCTGATGGTGGGGATGGACTTGGAGTACTCCGGGACCAGATCGTGCCTACTGAGGATACCCGCCAGTGGTAGGGGTGTTCGCCAGGGGCTCCTACGGGAGAGAGCCTGATATGAGGAGGTCTGGAGACCCCGTTGAGAGGGATGGATGGCTGAGCAAGTGCAAAGTCAGGCAAGCCGGGTCGGTAACGATGGGGACGGTGTGGTACAAAGCAGTGGGCAGAGAATAGTCGGGTCACGCGCCAGGTCAGCAACAGTAAGTCAGGTCCAATAGGGGGCATCCAGGAGAGAGGTCAGGCAAAACAAGGGTCTGGGCAGGAGAATACAGCAGTGGTCAGGTACAATCCGGGTCAGCAACTCACTAGAAACAGGTTCAGGATGCAGGATAAGACCAGAAGGCACCAAATGACAGCTCAGGGTCGTTTAAATATCGCGCCCTGCGCTGCAATTGGTGCCCAGCGGGCGGGTCGCGGCTTCTACTGTGCATGTGCGAACTCGAACGCTGCGGCCGGCCCAAACCTAGTGCCCGCGACCCTGCACAGGGCGGCGCACTGCACCTGCGCCGGGACCATCGCTGCGGAGATCGTGGAGATCCCTGACAAGGGTGCCCACTGTGCATGCGTGAGAAGAACTGTGCTTTGTGAATGGTCTGGCAGTCTTCTGGGACCTGTCACATGTCCCAGAAGATGGGGAGGGAGGACAGCTCCAGGGAAGTGGGAGCGGGTACCTGTCAAATTCAGGTACCCGTTCCCCCCCTCCTCTGCTCGCTAAAGGTCTGCAGTGTTTGGTCATCTCCTGTACTATGTCCGTAGCCTCTGGTCATTCCCTGTACTATATCCATAGCCTCTGGTCATCCCCTGTACTATGTTTGCAGTCTCTGGTCATCCCCTGTACTATGTCTGCAGTCTCTGGTCATTTCCTGTACTATGTCCGCAGTCTCTGGTCATTTCCTGTACTGTGTCTGCAGTCTCTGGTAATCTCCTGTACTGTGTCCGCAGTCTCTGGTCATCTCCTGTACTGTGTCCGCAGTCTCTGGTCATATCCTGTTCTGTGTCCGCAGTCTCTGGTCATCTCCTGTACTATGTCCAAAGTCTCTGGTCATCTCCTGTACTGTGTCCACAGTCTCTGGTCATCTCCTGTACTATGTCCGCAGTCTCTGGTCATCTCCTGTACTGTGTCCGCAGTCTCTGGTCATCTCCTGTACTATGTCTGCAGTCTCTGTTCATCTCCTGTACTGTGTCCGCAGTCTCTGGTCATCTCCTGTACTATGTCCGCAGTCTCTGTTCATCTCCTGTACTGTGTCCGAAGTCTCTGGTCATCTCCTGTACTATGTCCACAGTTTCTGGTCATCTACTTTACTATGTCCACAGTTTCTGGTCATCTCCTGTACTATGTCCGCAGTCTCTGGTCATCTCCTGTACTATGTCTGCAGTCTCCGGTCATCTCATTAACTATGTCTGCAGTCTCTGGTCATCTCATTTACTATGTCCGCAGTCTCTGGTCATTTCCTGTACTATGTCTGCAGTCCATTGGTTCAGAATATTTATTTTCTTGTTTTCCTCCTCTAAAACCTAGGTGCGTCTTATGGTCAGGTGTGTCTTATATATTATATAAACAGTAAATCAGAGACTGATTAAGGCAGAATGGGGAATGGAGTCCTAGACAACGTAGAAGCTTTCTCCATTTGCACTCTCTGTATTGTCATGGCTCACGGAATCAGACACCAAGTACCTTCAGCCATGTGGAGTGACAGGTAGGTTCACAGCTTTGACCAATTATACTACTCCCTTTACTGCAAAAGCATTAAGGTTGTTGATGAGCTTCCTGTACTTCCACCAGGTCATAGGCTCCTGTCTAGGTTGCTTGTGGATATCTTGTCTCTGCAGTAAAGTCTTAAAAACATTAGGAGCCATCTAGGAAGGTTAATTTTCATTTCTTACTGGATGACAGCAGGTATACAAGTTTTTTTTAATTTTCCCAAATATCCCAGCAGGGGTGAGATGTTGCTTCACATAAGGCCAAATGAGATATATAACTACTGTGGAAAAGGATGAGACAAAATCATGAGTTTACACGTTGATTATCCTTAAAGTTAACCCATTCGAATCTGCCACTTGTATAAATCTGAATCTCCTCTCTTAAGTTTTTCCCCCTCTATATTTTTCTCCAAAACTACACACTTGGTCTCTAGGTACTCTGTGCCATGAGGTCAGTCCCAGTGTGTGGGGAACCTGTCACTAGTGAAATGGCCAAACATAACAACCCTTCACTACTATAGTATCCATCATCCCTGCCATGTCATCAGTTTCCTGGCTGGTTGGCTGATTTAGCATGGGACACAAATACAGTGGTCATTAGCAATGGCATTATAGCCTCCTCAGGACAGCTGCTGTGCTCGTTTGACTTCTGTACTGTATCCTCTCTAACCTTACCAGTCCCCCATGTTGTGAGTCCTGTTATTTTGATATTCCTTACATGCATTTAGAGATTTCAGACCAGGCAGATTAGATAAACAAAAAAAGATATTTTACTGAAGTAATTGAAGGTAACAAGAGAACAGTTCCCAAAGACATCATCCAAATAAGTTCCTGTAGAGTCCTTTTAAATGTAAAAGTCCATAACTGTCAGTAATCCACACAAGGTAGCAATAATCCATACACAGGTTTTCAGCAACAGGTACACAGGTTCCAGACCCCACTGGGAACCCTGGCTGAGCTCCCACCAAGGGACTACATTTTAGCACTATTTCCGCTAGAGCACTAATGAACCCTTATTTATATGATATGACTTCTCACAACCCACAGTTTACCAGGTCAACGAAGGACATAGTGCAATTAACCTCCCCTGTAACAATTGGCTTCAACATCTTAACACGGTTGAACTAACCCAGGAACATGTACATAGCAGAAGGAAACCTGTAACATACACAGAACCAGGGGCGGACTGACCATTTGAGCACTCGGTGCCCGAGTGCCCAGGGTCAGTAGGGGGCCCCAGGAAATGCCCCTGGTACCTTTTATAGGCTTTTTTCGGTGTGCTTTGAGTGTGGGCAAGGACACAGGGGCCCCATGATCCCTATTGCCCGGGGCCCCATGAGCTGTCTATCCGCCCCTGCACAGAACCTTTGAAAGCACCTGCTTACAAAGGTAAGGCTATGCTATTTTAACAAATCAGAACTGACAAATCAGGTCATTACAAATGTTCATTAGTGATGAGTTCTCCTTACATTTCTATCAAGACAGAGTATGCCCAGCTACATTCCTACAATGACAGGGTATCCAAGATTTATGTCCTGGCTGTGCAAGAAAAATTAGTAGCTTAATTAATGGTGTTTTTGAGTGACCTGGAGCTATCCGTACAGCTTGGATATGTATGTGTTAACATAGACCTCTAAATTCCATTGGTTTAGATTATTGAATATGTTGCCCTACTCTCCCACTATTCACTCTCAAAACTCTTTCATACTTTTCATTATAACATTGCTGGGGGTAAAACACCACAGTTATTTTACTTGTTTAATAAAGCATTTTAGAGAGTTCATAGTACTAAAAGACTGGTGTTTTGCAAAAGAAAATGCTGGAAGTGTCAATAAGGACATAGATAAGCTCTATAAACACCTTACATATTATGATTTGTGACATGCACTACCTGACTGTGCTACTGGCATGTCAGAGGACTTCATTGATCATTTCCAGTACATTTGCGCATGAAGTCATTTCATCTGACTTGTTATGCTGCATAAGATATGAACTGTAGAATAGGCTCAGTCAGGAGTGATCAATGGGCTAATGAGCCTTGCCAGTGGAGCAGACTGAAGATAATAGGTAGCATATCTTCTAAACTATTGATTTTAGTTTGTAGTGAAAAACAGTATACTAAAATCTAGTGCAGATATAACTGGCATGAAAGTTTTCTTTGAACTTTTGTTGAGTAAAAGGAGTGATCACTACTGTTAAGTGCAGTTTAAATACCTGTATCATAGTGCAGGCTAATGTTTTGAGAGGCCAGTCCATGGCTCCAGTAGCTGACACAGCTATAAATATGCCTGGCTCCTTTTATTTCCTTAGAAGGCTCCCTAATGCATGCGCAGCTTTATGGAAAAAGAAAATGCTGTGCTAAAGCATAATTTGTTTTGTTGTCATTTATTTTGTATTTGTTGAAATTCATTTCTATTGTGATATGAGTGATTCAATTAACAAAAAAGTTTGATTAGTAATGAAAGAAATCACTTATGTCTAGTTCTAGAAAAAACCTTTTCAATGGCAGATTTAACTGAGCAAAAGTGAGCAAACAAGAGAGGATATGTTTTAGGCCTTTTTTGTAAAAATATTCCTGGGCAAAGTGCATCTGCTTTGAAGCTTTATTTTTTTCCTTTGGAAAGGCATGTGACAGGGTAATTTGCAATCAGGTGTTTATGGGAGACAGGGACAGGGCAATGCCCAAATGGGGACCAATATATCAGTATCACCAACTGTTAAAGCTTTTTAGTAGTTCGGTTACCATCTACTTTAACAATATATGCTTGAGATGTTTTGATATGTTTAAATTGCAGTGCTGTGGTACATTTTCTTTTATGCTCTGCTGTGTGCACAGATCTGTACACCCAAAAATCCTTTTGAGGACCAATATCTGTTTGCAACATTTGCCTGATAGCTAGCTCTTCAGTTGACAACACATGAGCTACTTTTTATATTAAATGTGGTATTTTCCCCTATTTTTTTAGAATTTAACGTTACGCTTAGTGTGATTAGAACACATCAGACAGTTGTTGCTGACAAGAGTTTTTTTTTTGTATTGTTGGAAAGAAAAGCAAAATAAAATACAAGAACAGTGTATATCTAAACCACCTCATATTACATCATTTACATTCAATGCCCCCCACCCCACCATCTCATAGCTGCAATAAAAGTTAGGCATACACCATTTAGGCCTATTATCCCTGATTGAACCTGTCCTGCTACTGGACAATTTTACACTCTTGGATCCTTTTTTGGTGTTTTTAGTCTTTTTGTTTAATTTAGAAACTCTTGATGTCATTACTAAAGAAATTAAAATGATAAGTATTTCTTAAAAGAAAAAGATGGATAAATATATAACTATTTAAAATCTGCTCACCAAAGAACAAGTCATTCAGTAGATTCCTAAACACACTTAGACCTTCCAAACAGATTAATTTTTTTTTCTTACCTATTCAACAACCAAAAAGGGTAATTCTCTAATAGTCATTTATTCTCATTAAACTCCTCAACTTTGTCAGGCAAATGAGCAGTAATCAGAAAAATATTCATAAGCGTCAATCTGCTTGGCCTCCATCACCACAACATTGCCAAGCTTTATAGAAGAACTTTTGCTTTGGAATTCACATCAGCCCTCTTAAGCTCAGAAGTTTTTATTTAGTTTGAGTGGAATATCTTTGTCACCAGTGCAGAGCTGTAGAAACAAATCATTCCCCATAGGTATACATGTCTGTGATAGCAGAAAAAAGATTGTCCTGTTCTCTATTTCAGGAAATATGACCACTTGTATGCATGTCTATTAAAGCCTTGCGATTCCTGTCCACTGCGTTTGCTAAAACATGACAGGGTGTCAGGGTCCGCCGCAGCATCGCGCCCCCGACGCATGCGCGGTCTTGTCGGCTCGCGCCGGATACGGGCACTAGGTCCCGGCCGGGCCGCGGCTGAGGGAGACTCGCGCATGCGCAGTAGGCGCCGCGAGTCCCAGCTGGGCGGCGGCCAATGACAGCACAGGGCGCGGTATTTAAAGATGCCCTGCACTGTAATGAATTGCCGCAAGGTCTCTTCCTGTACCTGTGTTCCTGTGTTCCTGTGCCTGTGCCTGTACCTGAACCATATTGACCCGGATTGCCCATGACTAACGCTGCCTTCTCCTGTTATTGACCCGGATTGCCCCTGACTACGCTGCCTTCTCCTAGCTATTGACCGCCGGATTGCCCTGACTACTCTGCCTTCTCCTGATTATTGACCCCGGTTTGTTTTGACGCTCACCTGCGGCCCTGACGAGACCTTCCCCTTACTGACAACCTACGTGTGACCTGACTATCCTTTGCCTGCCGTTTCTTTACCTCGCTGCCCCCCTCGGTGACAACTGGCTAGTTTGACCACGATCCATCCATCCATCCATCCATACCTGCCCTGGGCCTGCCGGCCTCCTCACATCTGGCTCCTCCTCCTGTATCCATCCCCGGAGGTTCCCTCTGCCCAAGGGTGGGATTTGCCTCGGAGGTCGTGACCTGGTTCCTAGTCTGCTTTTTCAAGTCCATCCCCCACCATCCAGGGATCTGGTGAACACGCAGAGCGGGACTTAGACTCCACGCTCTGGGTAATCCTGTCTAGT